GGCGCACTTTTTTAATTGCATTTTGACCCCCGATTTCTGATTTTTTTTTCAAAAACACTCCTAGAATCCGAATTTTCACTCATTTTTTTCAAAATTGATTTCAATTAAATCCCAATAATAATTTTACCCATTTTTATCATTATTATTATTTTTATTTCTATTAAATTAAATTAAACTAAATTAAAACCATATATTATTACTCAAATAAATCAATTAATTAAAATAAAATAAAATTATAATAATTCCAATAATAATAATAAAAATAAAAATTAGGGTATTACAACTCTCCCCCACTTAAAGAAATTTGGTCCCCCAAATTTGCCTCTTATTCCTGGTCGAACAAATGGGGATACTGGGATATAAAGTCTGATTCTAACTCTCAGGTAGCCTCCCTTGGCGTGTGGTTCTGCCACATGACCTTTACAAATGATATTTCTTGGTTTCGGAGTATTTTGCTCTTTCGGTCCGTGATACCGACTGGTATTTCCTCATAAGACAAACCCTCTTGGAGTGGAAGCGGTTCATGAGCCAAGACATGAGAGGGGTCCGGGTTGTACTTACGTAACATGGACACATGGAAAATATTGTGGACCTTGGAGAGCTCTGGAGGCAGTGCTAGTCTGTAGGCGGCAGTACCAATCCTGTCTAAGACTTCAAATGGTCCAATAAATCGGGGATTCAATTTTTTCCTCCTGCCGAACCTACTAATTTTCTTGAAAGGAGTGACCTTAAGGAACACCCGGTCGCCTTTCTCAAATGCTAATTTTCTCCTCCGGGTGTCCGCATAACTCTTCTGCCTGCTCTGAGCTGTCTGAATGTTCTTTCTGATTTTAACTATTTTAGACGTGGTCACCTCCACTAACTCCGAGCTGAACAATTTTATGTCGTCCACTTCTTCCTAATAAATCCGCGATCTGCATGGGCGCCCATATAACGCCTCATACGGAGCCATGTCAATACTCGCTTGGTAGCTGTTGTTGTAGGCAAATTCTATCAGGGAAAGATGGTCGTCCCAATGGCCCCCAGAGTCAAGGACACAAACTTGGAGCCTATCCTCAAGTGCACGGATTGTCCTTTCTGATTGTCCATCAGTCTGAGGATGGAAGGCAGTACTGAGAGACAGCTTTGTTCTCATGGCCTGCTGAAAGCTACTCCAAAACTGAGAAGTGAACCTGGGATCCCTGTCGGACACCACTGTCACTGGAACTCCATGCAATCTGACTATTTTTTCGGATATACATTCTTGCCAACTTGTTCAAGGGATCGGTCATCCTGATGGCTAGGAAGTGAAAAGACTTGGTAAGCCGGTCAACAATTACCCAGATGGCGTCATGTCCTAAACGTGCCTTGGGTAATCCCGTTACGAAGTCCATGGTGATATGTTCCTACTTCTACTTCGGGATCGGTAAAGGCTGAAGTAACCCACCTAGGCGTTGATGCTCTACCTTGACCTGCTGACATACTAAACATTTAGATAAAAAGTCAGCTATATCCCTCTTCATCCCATTCCACCCAAACCGGGAGTCGCATGCTTTGGTACATTTTGGTGCTTTCGGGATGCATGGCAAACTTCGAGCTATGGGACTCTGTCATGATATCTCTCTTTAACTCACTGTCGTCTGGGA